TATATATAATATATAATAATAAATATATATATATATATAATATATAATAATAAATATATATATATATATAATAAAAAGTAAAATAAAATATAAATAATATACCATATAATATATAATATATATATAAATTTTACATATTTTTTTTATATGGTTGTTGCAGTATTTTATGGCAATTTTTCTTTAACTTTTTCCACTAAAGTAAAAATTCTATTTTTTTATATTTTCTCAATTCGTACTTTTATTTTTAGTTGGCGTTATTTCTTTCTTTAGCAGGTATAATTATTGTAAAGATTTTTATTTTATTTATGGAGTAAATGTTTTTAGCACTAAGAAAAAATATATACAATTATGTATTTGTTTATATATTTTTGTTTATTTTGAATTATATAATGATTAAATACTAGTTTTTGGGTCTTACAAAATGACTCGAAATAATGTTTATGAAATAATATTTTAGTAGACAAAATTAATTAAAATTTAAAATCGTCTAAACCAAATTTTATACTTTTACAAAATGGCTTAATTCACTGTTTATAAAAAAAACTAAAAACGAATAACTAAAATTTTTTTTTCAAAAATTATCTAGTAAATTCTTAACCTAAAAATATTTTTATAAAAACTTATTAACAAAAAAGCAACAATTCAAAGGCAAGTCTATATAAACAAAATATAATCTCAACAAGAAGAAAATTTGCGTTTATTTACAGTGTAATAAATACCAGATTCCACGAAATTTGGAAAATACTGAGGTTATGCCACTTTGTTTTCGAATATAAGATCATAAAATAAATATAAAAATTGTCATTAATATAAAAAATGTTTGTTTTCGCTTAAAATATTGGTACAACGTATGCCACATTTTGTTCGAATAATTAGATCATAAAATAAATATAAAAATTATTATATGAAAATTGTCATTAATATAAAAAAATTTTGTTTTCGCTTAAAAAATTAGCTTTTAAATAAATAATAATAATAATAATCAAAATAAAGCGGAAAAGCACCTTCAGCAAATAATTCCTTACTTTTAAGACATATTTAGTTTTCTAATGTTATTTCTTGCATTTGGTATCATGTATATGTATATGTATTCAATTTAGTAAATATGTACTGTATATATATTTATGTGTCATTCATTAATTAATGCGTTTATTACAATTAAATTATTTTATTTACACGCGATTTCAATTGCAGCGAAAAGGCATGTCAAAATATTTAAATTATTCATGCTTTGTCATTTAAAGTTCATTTTACATTACGAACGTCGCTTTAGCGAGGCGCAGCCTTTTTTTCATCTAAGTTAGAACTTAACATATTATTCTTATTATTCCATACTACAACTATACTAAATAAATAAATAAATTTTATATTAATAATGTATAGGCAATATATTTGACTTTCACTGCTTTACCTTTTTTAAATTTAATTAAAAATAACTATATAATAAATATGTTTTTATAGAAGTCCTTTAGCACTTGCTTCTTACTTATTCGATTTTAAGTTTTTTTACCTACATTTTGGGTAGTTGGCTCACTCTTTTAATGAAATTCATTTTGTTTTACTATGCAAAATACGTTAGCGTGTTTTTTTTCAGGATTTTCGCTTCGCTACGACTACCGCATAAATTGAAATGTATTAATTTGTATTAATTCTTCAATTATTACGCACGCACGTGGACTACGTCGTCGCTTCTTAATTAAGTACAACAATGATAGACATGTCCGCCACTTTTCATTGTGTATTCGTTATACGCCAATTTACTGTAACTGCTATGCACCTGTGCAGACTCAAGTGAATTTTGTAGGGATTTGCAAGAGAACTGCCGATGATTAGTACCATCCTACGGAAGAGAATTCGCAAGAAAATAATAGCTAACAACTAAACAAATTTACTTCTTAAAGATTTGCACAAAAAGACTTACCTTCGGTTGTATGGGAAAACAACACCACAATACAAACGCTATAAACGCCACCAGCGTGCCCACCAGGAGTATAAAATCCTCAATCGTCTATTGAATCATGTAACCAAAATTTAAATTTTTAAAATTCAACTGTTTAACTGTAAATTTTTAATTTACCAACTTTGATTGCACTTACCGGTTCATCGCCCAACAATACATGATTAATCAGATATGCGAAATCATCGAAGGGCGTCATGTCTGTTACGAAAACCCTTTACGCTTCTTCTATTCCTTTTATGTTATCGCTATAGGGTTTTGTGTTCGCCCTTAGTTGCAAATAATTAATATATATTTTAAACTTCACGCCCCCAGTTGCGTTTATAAAAAAACTGTTTCGTTTTTTTATATTTTTGTTGCTAGCCGGTAATTTGTACTCACCAAAATAAGTACCAACGACTTATTATGTCCTTTATATTTTTACCACAAGAAGTTATAATAATATTGGTGTTGACTTTAAACTATTTCATATCCATGTAAAAGCGTTTAAAACTATTATTTTCAATGTTTGCCTTTATAATAGTTCTTAATGGCGGATGTATTAAATTGCAATTCACTTTGTTTTGTGTTTTTGATAGAATTGCTAGCTAGTGTTTGTCAAAGAGAAGGGCTATGGTCGATCGCGTTGCCAACGCGCATATATATGTTAAATGTTATTACCAACTATATTTACTTTTTTGACATAAATATTTTGTGTTTTGAAATAATTGGTTCAATTTACATAGAAAGTCACAGAAACCGAGCTCGGAAACATCCAAAGAAGTAACGCGGAAATTAACACATACCTTCTTTAAGAAAATGATAAACGATTAAACATACACAAAACTTCTGGTTAGAATTGTCAATTGGGTTTAAGAAACTTATAGAAATTAGAACAGAAGTTTCTGGTAGCTCTGTTGGGTAATAAACCGATGACTTAAACGATAGGTGGCTTGCAGGGTAAGTATTAAAATTATTTAAGCCATCGAATTACATAAACTTAATACATAATATAGTTGCAGACATTTATTAAAAATTAATATGAGTTTACCTTTGTTGCTGTTGTTTATCCATATCATGTTGGCTGATAGTGACATGCATAATAGCTTAGTTGCAAGTGAAACACCCTTTACTCGTATCCTCTTTCTGCAATTCTCTATATACGATCGACATCTCTTTTTCTCATTACTAATTGAAATAAATAAAATATATTACAGCCTAGTGCTCTTTTCCTTTTCCGCAAATTGGAACGTATTCCTATAGGGTTGCTGTTGCTTTATTTTTTCAACGAATTTACTAAGTGAAATGATTTGTAATGAAGTAAATTATAACAAAAACACCTCAAATTGTCTTTATAATCTAAAAATATAATTTAAAAAAGCTTTTAAATGTTATATTAACTAAGCTAGCTTGCCACAAATGTACAATTAGTTGTTATCCATTCAAATAATGTACACCCTATAAGCAACCCTGTCATTTGGATTTTCTTATCCATTGTCCTATTGCCAAACAGCAAAAGGGGAATCAGTTCGTTTCGTTCGCTCACTCGTTCGCCGCGTTGCTTTTTCGCCATTGTCGTCGTCGTTCTTTAGTAGAAGTAGCAAAGGAAGAAGCAGAGCTGTGTGGAAGAAGAAAAAGGCAGCAGCAAGCAAAGGAGAATCTTCTTTCTTTTGTGTGTGTTGTATGTGAATTTCAATACAAAAAATTTTCACTAACCCAAGCTAAAAAAGATTTGGGGTTTTGTGTGTTGAAAATTGTTTAAAAAAATGCGGAATAAACCAACACAAGTACGGTTATTGAATGTGAGTGAGACGCGCGTGTAATATTGCAGATATTGTTGGTGAAAAGAAAAATATTTTGTGTGGCCATTTGCAAGTGCGGTTTACGTCGTTGTCGTTGTCCCGCAAAGCACCGCCCGCGCCCAGTGTCTGTGTTTGTGCGTGCGTGTGTTTGCGGTAGCCGTTGGTGCGTCGTCTTTGTCGTCATTGTCGCCGCCGCCGCCTATATAAAATTGAACAGGCGGACGGACTGTTTTCCGTTTTGATCATATACTTTGATCAATTATTTATATATGTGCAGCTCAGTACTTCATGAATTTGATGACGACGATGTAATTTGCATGAAATATAAATTGTGAAATATTACAAAAACAGTGTCTGTGGCCGCTAAATTTTTGAGCGCCAACCACCAATTGGATATGGATATTTTAACGCCAGCTTTGAACGATACAAAATCGCTGTACCACCGATGAATGAACGACACCAGTGACGCGGGCCAATACCCAGCCAACAGCGAGTCGGCAACAACGAAACAAATGCCCTGTGGCCGGGGGAAAAAAGGTGCGCTAAATAATCTAATAAATATTGTAATAAGTTTAATTACGATATCTGAAAAACAGTTATTACTTAAATTTAAGCTTAGGATATTGCAAAATATTGAAAGAATTGACATAAATTAGTTTTTCTGGGTGTAGCGACTGCGACTGTGACTGTAGCAGAATGCTGCTGCTGTCGACGTCGTCGTCGCTGCCACAACCTGAGCCATTTAAAACAGACAGAAAAGGTAGGAAAAGTAGAAGACAGAACCAGCAAACATCATAAAAACTATGAAGAAACATTGCATAAAACGAAAATGAAAAGTGTAGCAGTAAGAAAGCAGTAATATAAGCTATTGGCATTAAAAGCGGACGAAAAGTGTAATGAAATAGAAGTGATTAAAAAGGAAATTTGGAGAAAAATTGTGCAGACGCGTTAAGCAGAGCGAAAGAAATACTGACGCTGCCGCCGTCGGTTTTGCTGCGCATTCTCGCATTGCCGACGTCATAAGATATGAGTATTAAAGAGCATAAATGGGAGCACAAAGAGCGAATGGCCATGAGCAGTATAAAAGTACAATAACAGTAGCGACAGAAACAAAAAAAAAAAATTAAACAGCAACGTCAGTGGGAGCTTTAGCAACAGCAATACCAACAAAAGCCAATAGGAAAATTTTATGTGAAGAGGGAAGAAATTCAGTGACGCGCTGCCTCGCTGCCTACTTGCTGTATGCGTAGTTGTATAAAGCCATCGAAAAAATAACAATATAAAGCGGTCGAGCTGAATTCGAGTTTTGGCGTTGTTGCTGTGGCAAACAAATGCATAGCGCGGCGGCGGTGGTGGCGGCGTTATTATTGTTAGTTTTATTTGCTGTTCACTTGGTTGGCCTTTGTTGTTGCTACCGCCCTGCTGCTAGCTTCTTATTAGTATTTTTTGTGCTGCCGCATTCGTCTGCTAATTATAATGGTGGTTGCTCTCTGCGTTTTTTCTTACTGCTTTGCGCGTATGCGTGTGTGTGTACGATTTGGTATTGTTTGTGTGTTTGTTTTACGCAGTGTTGCATTTTAATTTTTACTTTGATTGTGGAGTTTGGCGTGAGTTTAGAATTAAGCTGCCGTCTGACTGTTGGCGTTGAAGTTGCTCGGCAACATACAGCGCGCTACACAAAACATAAGCAAATTTGTTAGATTAAGTAACAAAAACGTACGCAGGAACGTCTAGCAGGTTTCTTGTTTACTTTTAAAGCCGACAGGTGGAAGGATACACCGAACTTTATTTTAATTGGATTCTGGAATAATTTTATGTTTACGAGGATGGTTGATAGTTTAAAATTTGGACATATGGTAACAATATAAAAAAGCAATAGCAAATTTGTATTAAAAGTTTTGACGAAAAACTGGCGTGGCATATTTTTACCGCGCTCAGCATTTGGGTTTCTGAGAAGAAACGTCTAAAATTATGCAGACGAAAAAGTTTCTTATAAGAGTAATGTATACTGAAAAAGGAGCCTATCGAAAACGGAGTAACCCATCGCAGACAGTGATCTCGAGTTGCCACATGAAAAAAAAGTGAGCCCAACACAAATTTCGTGTTGAATACTGTAACACCTAAACTCCAGAAAAGATTCCGGCATACGGATTTATGTTCTACAAAGAGTCACCCTCCTCGCATGCCCCGCTAAAACTACTCACTTAACAACCTTCCCTGTTTGGTCCAAACTCGTTGCAGTTGTTTTTGTTGTTGTTGTAGAGCGGCAGAATTCTGCCGAGTTGACAGTCCTTGACAGGATAAAATCTGGGTTCGTTCCGGTTACGTAGACCCGACTGTCGTGGGAACGGTCAACTTCGCCGAAACAGATCGTTTTTTTGGACCTACACCTGCTTTGTGCATTCTATGACATCTGATTTTTTTTTTTGACTTTACACAAACAGGATTTAGGCACTCGCTACAACAACAACAAGAAGTCACTAAATTATTTATAACCTATTTTCATTTAGTATAAAATAAATTCTCTCGGTTCCAAACCTGTCGAAACAGTGAAGTGACGATCTCTTAAAAAAAAATCGAGATAATCAAGTCTTATAAAAATTTTGCGCCTAATTGCATTGTACACAACATGCGAACATTTTACAATTGAAAAAGAGATTTCTATAGCGACAACAACAACAGACACGATACCGCTTTTTATCAGTAATTCTTTATGTTGTTGTGCTTATTTATTTTTCTATAAATTTGAATTGCATTACGTTGACAACGAATCTATTGCAAGCACCGAGCGGATGTGCTACTTGAGCGCTTTATCTTCTCCATGTGTTCTGCTTTTCTTGTGCGCATACTTCCGTTAATGTCAATGGCGTGCGAAAATATCGGCGCCGATATATCACTTTATGTTTACTAAAACCAAAACTTTATGAAATAATGTAGATTTGATAATAACGCGTTGTTAAAAGCAGTTGATCGCTTACCTTGTGCTATTCAGCGCGCAAGCTTTGATCTTTGCTGCGATTTTATCAGCATTCTGGTTTTATGTGCGATATTCATATTTTTTATGGCTTATACCTTTGCTTAATTTCGAGATTTGCACTAGTTTGTTTTTGTTTTTATTTTTAATTTTTTGTGTGTGTGTGTTAATATTCGCCACACGCGCAATTCGTTGTACGCTTTCGCCGCGCTTTTGCGTTGCTAATTTGCGATCTCTACGCTTTTGAGTTATTTTTAACATTTTATTTTTTTAAGTTTTTTTTCGATTTTTGCAAAAGCATTCACTTTTGGTGGGTCGTTGTACCTGACGTTCGATTTTGGACTTTTGTATGTTATACATTTGCTTTTGAATACTTTTTTTTTTATTAATTTTTTGGAATATTGTTGAAATAGGGAAATCATATGTTTCTTATTTTTAGCGGAATCTAGTATGATACCCATTTTTACATATTTTGATTTAGAAATCGTGAAAATTATGACTTTTTAACTGACAGCACAACTCAGACAGTCAGTTAGATTTAAAAAAAAATGACAGTCGGCACGCCATTCACATATTTTCATTAAACATAACGTGGTTTCCCGGTGGCTTCATTTATTGTATCGCGTTAAGATCGATAACAATTACACAAGCTTCGGATTACTTCCAAGTTTCACTTACCATCTGAGCCAAGCCGATCACCAATATGGTTTCTGTAAATTGTGCAGCATCACCACAGCACTTGGCGTTGAAATAGTCCAAAAAACCCGTGGCCTTAATCAAAAAACACCCTCTGAGCGAAAGATCTAAGTTGCGTTGGACCTGTTCAAAGCTTTTGACACAGTCAATCATACAATGCTTCTTGAAGCCAACGACCAATTTTTGCTCCCTCCAGTTTTGAAAAGGCGCACCATGAATTATCTGACCGATCCTCGATTATCAGTATTCCTTCGAGGTCTGATTTCGCCGCTACTGTACTGTACAACTCGAAACTCGTCCAACCACCAAAACCTAAAATTCCTTCGCTAGCCGGAAGCAGAAACGACAAAGAAACGTTAGCAACTTAGCATGTAAACGGTTGTCCGGTTATAAACTACGCAGCGCCGGTATCGTTGACTGGATACAAACCAAGAAACTACAGACTTATTAGAATATTGTAAAATATCCAGGTGTTTTCTATCGAACACTTATGCAGTGTGGACCGTTAGCACGACAGTTAGTCGGATCTACGTAACCGGAACGAACCCGGATTTTTATACGTAAGAATAGTCAACACAGCAGAATACCCCCTAATTACTTCGGGGAGGTTTTATGCGGCCTACTAGTAGCACTAAGCGAACATTTTTAGACTACATCGACGATATTGAACGCTACCGAACAGACTACGGACGCAACTGACTTCAGACAAGCAATGTACGTCATTTGCAGTGAAGCTAATAACACCTTTACAGAATCCCTACGGTTGTATGATATCCAGTGAGGAGTTCAAATACCACCAATGTCATAAGCAGAAGTTGAGTTGTCTCGCGGATCTAGAGTGACCCTTATAAAACTTCGTTCTAGATGCTGTAGCAGTTTAAATTCTGATATATGTATATACCGAACCTATGTCTTGCCTGCAATGAGAGCCCCATGAAATCAACTCACCTAACAACCCTTTTCCTATGCTCCGGACCCTACAGCGCATTTCTCGGATCTCCCGTTAGATGACTTCGCTGAGAAATAACTTATGCTTTGCCACCCAAACATCACGAACTACGCTATCAGTTCAAGTGTAAAAACTGCATTGTTTCCATTTGCTCCATTATTGCCACATGATTTTTAATTTAAATAGCATATCCCAAAAGCAAAGCAACCGCTTAGAGTTTGCCCTAATTTTTTTAAATTTAATATGCGCAATCTTACATTTTCATCCACTTCATCAGCTTGTTTACCGCTTTCTACGCATTGACTTTCTACCGTCATCCCACCAGTCAATTTATCACTATTGTGTGAACCGCAAACAATCAACATTCTTCTTCATTTTTTTAACATTCATTCATTAATACCGTTGCTTGGTCGCCAATTGTGTCTACGTAGCTATGTAATATGTAGTATGCCTGCATTCCTTCAAACGTTTAAATCTCCAAAACGTGCCAAGTTATTTAACAATGAAATGAGTGGCAAACAGCGTCGCGTTATACACTGTCTTTTGCGCTGTTAACTTCTTTCACCGTTTTCCCGCCGAGTCACTCTTACCAAAGACAGTCAACGACGAATATGTGGCAGCGCTGTACATTTATTGAATTCCTTGTGTTTTTTTTTTTAACGGTCCGCTCTCGTCATTTTTCTAATGCGGCTAATTTTGTTTGCAACCGCATGGTTTCCAACAAATTACGCCAGTTGCGAAGCCGCAGCTGTTTGTCACCGTGGTGATTGTAGTTATGCGTTTTAATAGTTCACCTTTTATCGCTTAATAAAAATTATAACGACTGCTCGTTGCTCTTGTTGGCAGCTATCCACTTTGCTGCCTGCTAAAATTTGCCATAACGGCGCCGTGCCGTTAAAAGTGGTACTCAATACTGTTTTATTTCAAGTACAAGGCCTTCGCAGCAGTTAATGGTGTCGGTTTTATTAAACGCTTGTTTTTAATAGATGGATCTCATGCTGTGTGCTGAAGTATGTGCATGGTTTTTGGGGTTTTCGAACAATATTTTCATTTCCAAGCTGGTCCGAAAAGATTTTTAATGGTTTGATTTCCAACGATTTTTGTCGTTTTGCGGTGAATACTATATTTCTGTACTGGATCATCTGAAATTAAAAACCCAAACAGATTTCGTTAAGTTATGTTAAATCTAGTAATTAATCGAAGGAATAAACAAAATAAAAGCTCGTGTTAACTATTAATCGGCTTAGCCGTTTTCTAATAATGTTGCTCACCGACTTTAAAAACACTATTCTGAGAAAAACGCATTGCCGCTCCGGCCTTGTACTTCCAAGCGCTCAAAAACGCCTTTTTATATTTGCATGTAACTTCGAAAATATTCATCGGAACGGTATGCAATTTTCTGTGTGTATTCTTAAATATATGAAAATTAAGAAAAAAAAATTGATTTTTTGAAAATTCTAACTGTATGTTACCCCTCAACAAAACCATAGTTGCGCGAGGTTGACTGTTACAGTAACAAGATCATAGACACTATACACTTTTTCAGCCGCCTGGCTTGCGTTATGGCCTTTATCGAAGAAAAACTATTAAATATAGCGTATTTTCTCTGTATAAATAATAGATTTGTTTTTACTTAACCTTATATTTATAATATTTCAGCGTTGCCAACCCTTTACTAGTTTAAAAAAAATTTAACCAAGTTCTTTAGAAATTGAAATCGATATTATGCCTCCGCTAATTTATTTGCTTGTTTCATGGTCTACACATTTACAGACTCTCGCAATGCTTTAGCAGCTCTCTTTCATCCTGCGGCATTTATTGCACATTAGAGTCTTTATTGCTTGCTCGATAATATATTGGCATTTTCAAATGAAAACTTCTATTCAAAAAGTATACGCAATAAATCAGCAGTGTCAAACTGAGTAATCGCCTTTCGCACTAAATTAAATTTTAGTTAAGCGATTCAAATCGCAGAAGCGCACTCACTTTCTATGATAAAAATAGTGGTAAGCATTACAATACACATATATTGTTTGATTTGTAGAATATTATAGTTAGCGAAAGGCAAATGCTCTATTTGCATGATGCTTTCACTAACTCCCGTTGACGTCAAGTTTCCGGTAAATAAACTGCGAAATTTCTATTAATAACTGCATTGTCATGTGGCGCTTGCTGGTATGTACATAGTCATGTAAACAAATAAATAATTGCAAAGGCGCAATAGTTTTCCCGCAAAGCCGCACTGCGAATGCACTTGTGCGCGCACTTCTAAATTGTTTTATTTATTTATTTTTTTATTAGATATACCCCAAGTTTGCGTTCATAAACGGAAACTTTTGTTGCTTATTTTCTGGCTTATTCTGTTCGCACGCGTGTCTACAGTCGGACAATCACACCATTTTCCGGCTCTTAAATCATATTTTCAAATAAATATAGTGTGTTGCCCTAGCAAGAGTCACTTGATGCTTGTCATCTGTTCTCGTCGTCGCTTCACCTACAAACTACGAGTTGCGACAACAAAGGTCTTCGCGTGTGAACAGGCACTTACATATATAATAATTGTTTACTTCGTGCACTCTGTCTCTCTCGACGACATTGCCACCCTGTTATAAAATTAATGTACATACATACATATGTGTGTGTATGGTAAAAGCACTTGACGCATTTCCGTTTAACTTAGCCTGCCGTCGATCAGCATTCCAGTTGTCTAAGGTTTCTGCATTTTTCGCGGTGTTTCGTACCTGGTTATGCTCATATTTCAAAATATACGCTAATGACAGCAGGTTTTGTTCTGTTACGAGTTCAGTGTGTTTACAAAGTGCAACGTCTGTTTAATTTATTTTCGTATTTTCTTTTTATTGTTATTATTTTTTTCAATTAAAATTTGTTTTTAATTTTTTTAAATTTTAATTAATAAATTTTTTTTATTAATATTTTTTTTAATTCAATTGTTTTTTTTTTTAATTTTTATTTATTTTATGTGTTTAAAAATTTTTTTTCAATTTTATTCTTTTTTATTTTCATTTTTTTGTTGTATTTTTTTTTTTAATATTATTTTTTTTTTTCAATTTTTTTTAAATTTTATTTGTTTTTTATTTGCAATTTAAAAAAAAAAAAAAATTTATTTTAACTTCTTTTTAATTGTAGGTTGTTTTTGTTTTTTACATATACATACATACATATCTTTCACAATGACTTTTGCAAATTTTTCCTGTATTTGCATAAGCGTTTTTTTCGTACTGTAGTGTCAATGCCTCTCCGAAATCAAACTTTCGCGCTCTCTTTTATATACACTCATTTAAAGCGCGTGCTGCTCATGATCTCTGCACTTATTCTGTGCAATCTTATTACGCAAATTATTTTTTCTGTTATTAAATTTGTTTTTGTAATATTTGTTGTCCTCACGCTTGTCAACCGCCTGTGTAAGTTTTATTGTTGGCGCTCTGCTCGTATCAACATCCTTCTCCTTGTAGTTGCGCTCGCCACTTGTAACTTCCGGCACTGTGCCCGTTGATTGGCTGGAATTTTTTACTTTCTCGCGCGGCATGCTGCGATCGTTGTGTCGTACTTCCGTTTCACTTCGCCGCTAGCGCTCTTGTGTGCTTGTATGCGTGTGCATAATTATGTGTATAACTTGTCAGCACAATTGGAGCATTGCATTTAGTTGGTATTGGTGTTGTTGTTGCGGTTGTTGTACGACTGTGTCATGAAATGCGCACATTGCAATTAATTACTGCCTGTATTGCTCAGTTTTTTTTTAATTCTTTTTGCCCATTTGCTCGTTTTTGTATTGTTTATTTTGTTTTTGTTTTTGCTTTGTCTTGTTTTTGCCTCTTTCATTTTGCACGCGCGAAATATAAGTATACAATATTTAAATTTTTTCGTGTAATAAATCAAAGCGCGCAACTCACTGCATCCAATCGTTGATTGCCTTGTAACTGCCATTTTGCCGCTGTCATTGTAAATTGTTGGCAGTTTTGTTTTCTTTTTATGTCAATCTTTTTGATTTTCCACAGAAACTTCAGTGCAAAAGTAATGAGTCAGCAGCTAAAAAGGTCATCACGTTTAAAGCTTGTGCACTGCATGCGTTAGCAGTTATAAAGAAAAAGTATAATAAAAAATGTCTACACAATCTTGAAGTATGCCTTTTTAAAATTATATTTTCTTAGTATTTCTGTTTTTGTTTTTGCAATTTTATGCGTCAAATTTCAGTCGTAAATTCCTTTGTTGTTTGTTGTCGTATACATTCACAACTTTTCTGTTACTCTTTGTAGTTGTTGTGTGCATGTTGTTGCTTTTTTGTTGCACCCAGCGCCGTCCCCCACATGACAGCGCTTTCTATTTCTCCCCCCATATACATAGCCATATGTACATATATACATACGTATGTATGTGCAACACATACACACCAATCTGATGCGGTTAATTTTATTAGTTTGCATTGTTTTTATCGCCATTCGCCGCTGATCGTCATCTGCGCAGCTAACAGCGCTGTTTTCTTTGTTGTCTACCTTTGCTCACTGTATTGCCGCGGCTTGATGAGCAGCTTTGTATTTTGCCGTCATTTTATTTACCTTGCTTAATTAATTTTTTTTTATTGTGTGTGCTGTTGCCATACGTATCTGCTACCACATATATGACTCCAGAGCCGCCACTTTATTATTTCTTTTATTAGTGTAAATTTAGAGATCCCATGTTAATCTTTCAGTGGGAAATTGGCATTACATTCGTTCCATTGTAATTATCTAGCATCAATTTTGTCATTTCTAGCATTATGATTTTGACACATTTATAATTTGTATTACTGCTCTCATAGCTTCTTTTCGAAATTTTGCAAATTTTTTATATAAATAAACAGGCATTTGAGCAAAAAAGAACTACAACTATCGATTATAGCAATTATCGTTTTGTTAGTCAATTTAAGCGGGTGTGCATACGTTCAACTTTTCGACTGTAGCCAATCAATAGTCAACACATTATCTCATTGAAATAATGAGTTCTTGGAAATCTAATGGAAAAAATTGTACTTATTTATTTCAAAGTGATTTTTAGCAATAAAAATTCTGCAACCAGAATACGTACATAAATAAATATGTACATATGTATTAGCTCGATAGATTAAGCACGTTTCTACTAATTTCGTATTTACATATAACATTTTAATTTTTTTTATATTGTATATTTTTTTTACAACGCTTATTCGTTTAACTTATTGTTTTTCTATTTCTTTGCTACCGCAATCACTTCTAAGTCTGAGTTCATACACGGAACTTTTGGTTTGTTACTCATTATTGGCAACTTTTTTTACAACAACTCGAGTCGTGCAATTTTCTGCATTTTCTCAAATTTTTGTACGCTTCATTTACGTGGTACACAAAAATTATTATCATTCTTATCCCCATTCAACATTTACCAACATATTTCTGTTAAATATATAAAATATTAATCAATTAATTTTAAATTAAAATATATGTTTACATACCTATTACAGATCAGGGCGGAAGCCTTTGAAAATGATAAAAAGTGAAGAAAAATTATAGTAGGATGAAAACCATTGAAAATGACAGAGAGTATAACAAAAATTAATGGCAAAATAAAGTACAGGCGACCTGTGGTCGGGAAGTAGAAGGTAGGGGTGGTTGAGTTTTTAAGGGTATCTCGATTTCCAGGAAAAAAACCTACAAGTTCTATGTAAGAAAGTTAAATGGTAAAGTTGTAGGTAATAAAAAGACCTGTAACGTTTGTTAGTTAGTTAGAAGTCTCCACTAAACGCTTCAAAGCTGCTAGCAAGTTTCCAAACACATTTTAAATAATCATTTGAAACCGAGCGCAGTTGCAATCATGAAAAGATTTTCAAAATGAACAATAACACAAAGCATGTTGCCTGAGCACGAGCAACTTCTTTCCTCCTTCGGCTTTCCTCGTCGACCCCACGCTCATTCGCCAACAGCAAAAATATTCACCATGTGTGAACTGACACTAATACAGTTGGCTTCATATGCGCATTTTTTACTTTCTCCTGTTTACGTCTTTTATTGCATATTCCATCTCTGAGTTAACATTCTAATGCACTTGCTGTGTGTTTGTTGAGGTGTGCTTTGTGACGGCGTCATTTGTTATTCGTCATTTGAGCTTGAGTCTGCTCACCTTCATCGCTGATTCTCGATTATTTTTATGGCCTATGTCGTTGTTGTTTTCCTTTTATTGTTGTTATTAGATTTTTTCATTTGTTTATTACAGTTGTTATTTATTATAATGAGTACCGACGACGCTTCTTCGATTCGCTTTTTTTTGTTTTGCATGTTTTATTTTTGTTTTGGTTACTGATATTGTTTTTGTGGTTGTTTACAACGCATTTTAAATATATTTTTTCCATATTGAAATGCTACCACCTTCTTTGTTTTTTGTTTTTATCGTGCATTTGTTATTATACTT